GGGGGCTCGCCGGGGCGCCTCAATTTTCCACAGCAACACGAGATAGCGACGCAATACAAGGCGCTACATCAACCATCCGACGCATAATATTCATTGCAAGGAAGAATCACAGTCAGAGCCACCACCAACGATCGACCACAGGCATCGCACTCACCCCCGAGAAGCTCGCCCCAACGCAGCCCCCCCGATGCTCGCCCCAGCGCACTTGTACCTGCCCTCCCAGGCCAACAGAAGTTGCCCAATATTTAGAGCACGGCTCGACTCATCCTGTGCGAAGTTTCACCCGCACTGAACCAGCCGCACTGCCGCGCTCCCCACCAATGGGGCCCGGCCACCGCCTTCACCGCTGTCCCCGCCGCTATTGTCCCCGCCGCTGTCCTACCGCCCCCATCGCTGCCCCGCTGCCCCCTCGCTGCTGCCCCCAGCGCCACCGTCCGCGCCGCTGCCCGCGCCGCTGCCCCGCTGTCCCCGCGCCATTGCCCCCGCCGCCGCCGTTCCCACCGCTGCCCCGGCATCCCCGCCATTGTCAAATTGCCCCGAGGAGCGGGAATCGTTTGCCGGCGGCGAAAGGGGAGGGTCGAACCAGGAGTGGCCCCCCTTCGGTTTTCGAGGGGGGGGGGGTCGAACCGGCGGCGGCCCCCGCTCTTATTTCACGATGGATTGGGGAGGGGGGGGGTTCGAACCGGCAGCGGCCCCCCATCGGTTCTCGGGGCGAGGGGGGGGAGGGGCAGGGCCGGCCCCCCCCAGCGGCCCCGCCCCCAAGTTTTCCGCCAGCAGCGGTAGAACATGCTCTTTCTGATATTTGGGATTCGCCGCTTGCGGCGGCGCGCGCCGGAGCCCGATGCGACGGCGGCGCAGCGGGGAAAGTGGCGGGGGCAGCGGGGGCAGCGGGACAGCGATGGGGGCAGTGGGGGCGCTGGGACAGCACAGTGGGGCAGCGGCGGGGACAGCGGGGCAGCGCCGGGCGCAGTGGGGCAGCGGCGGGGGCCGCGGGGAAGTGGAAGAGCGGGGCCGTGGTGGGGCAGTTGTGGGGGGAGTGGGGGCAGCGAGACATTGGCGGGGGCATAGGTGGGGACAGCGGGGGCAATGGTGGGATCAGCGGGGACAGTGGGGCAGTGGCGGGGGCGGTGGTGGCGGCGACAGCGGCGCGGGGACAGTGGGAACGCGGTGGAGACAGTGGGGCAGTGGAGGGCGCAGCGCTGGCGGGGACAGTGGCGAGGGCGGTGGCGAAGACGGCGGCGGGGCAACGGGGCAGATGCGCAGCGGGGGCAGCGGTGGGGGCAGCGGGGGCAGCGGTGGGAACAGCGGGGCAGCTCAGTGGGCCAGCGGCGCGGGGCCGTGGAGAACGTGGGGGGAGTGGAACCGCGGCGGGAGCAGCGATGGGGGTGGGGGCAGTGCGACAGTGGCGGGGGCACTGGCGGGGCCAGCGGGGACGGTGGTGGGAACGGCGGGGGCAGCGGCGGCGAGGGCAGTGGCGCTGGGGGCAGCAGCGGGGGATGTGGTGCGGGCAGTGGTAGGGGGCCGGGAGTCGATGGCTGGCGGCGAGCGCGACGCGCGGGGCGGGGGGGTGGCGTCGAACAGGCAGCGACCCACCCCGGTTTTCGGGGGTGCGCGGGGGGGGGGGGGGGGGGGGCGTCGAACAGGCAGCGACCCCCCTTTTGGTTTTCTAAGGGGGGGGGGGGTCGAACGGGCAGTGGGCCCCTCTAGTTTTCCGGGGGGGGGGGGGCGGGATCGCACAGGCAGTGGCCCCCCCCCCGGTTTTCCTGAGGGGGGGGAGGGCGGGAGGGGGGGGGTGCCGGGGCGAATCATACACAACTCAGCGCTGGCGCAACATTCCATTACGACGGACACCATCCAAGCTACATTGGTCATTGCACTGGAAGCATCACCCACAGGGCACAGACCGACTGTGACTATTCTCGACTGGGCAGCACACGCATCGAGCTAGCTGCCGCCATATGGGCAACACTTTACTCAACCCAGCAACTGGCCCGCATCGACAAGCAGATCCACGCCGACTCAGCCAACGCAACGCACCTCATAGCACAATTGCAAGACTCCAGCGACCCAATCACGAGACTTGCCCAAGGCATTCAGCCAAACCGCACAACATCGTTATGCACCACATATGGACACGACAATCATCCATGGAGCGAATCAGCAGACACATTAGCAAACCACCATACAACGACGCATGCCGATGCAGAGCTGCTCAGACGAGCCAGCACACGGACGCGACCCGACAGCGCAGCAAGCGTTCTTGAATAACCACCCATAATTATGCGGGACCATCAACAAAGCTGCCAACCACAATGACCCCTGCGCATGCCCGATGATCCAAGAATCTGGGTTTCATTACGCTGCACACATCATGCATCATAAAGACCCCACAACTGCGAAACTCCAGCAAGCAGCGACCTCAGCGCGCCAGCGAAGACTCCAACACATCCGAGACGCACACAGAGAGACAACGTCGACGCAGTCAACGGAGAACTGACGCACGGAAAAAGAACACTTCAGCACATGGCCAGAGGGCAGCGCCTACGAGCACAGGCACAACTCCACAAAGCCCGCATCATGGGGCGCGCAAGAAACAACAGCACGATGTGACGCGTTCTTACAGTTCACCGCACCACAGCGCCCATCCACACTTTGATACAGTCTCCCCGCGAACGCCTCAGCACCCCACGCGACTACGCTGAACTAGCGGTTCTATGTGAAATATCAGAATGTCCGTGTCTCTCATGCGTCTCATCGACTACGCATGATCCAACTACGGGCACCAATGACCTGCGAGACCATCTACGTTGCCCATGCCCCCCCCCCCCCCCACCCACGCCCAACCCGACTCTAAGAACCGGGCGAACTGGCAGGAAGCATTTCGCGCGCCAGCAGCCAAATAACCGCCCGCGCTCATGCCAGCCGGCTTCGATGCGCTCCCCGCCGCCACCGCCTCACCGCGCATGGGCGACGCAGCGCCGCCAAACCCTTGCACCGAGGAGGGCGACGACGCAACGCAAGGAAGACTACTCACGGCAGCATGCGACCTAACGTGCATCGGCACAACCACAGATCTCAAAACGACATGGCGCTCACAAAGCGTCACACATACAAACTACTCTCACATCGCAGCGACTACATAGCCATCGCCAATGACCAGGCGACACGCACGCAAGGGCTGTTACATCGACTGCCAACAGGATTCAGGAGCAAAAAACGATGACAAATTTTCAATATATGCCACACTGCGCTACGCACGTAGCACTACCAAGAACGCGCGCAGCCAATCTGCACCTTGCGACGCAACAAAGGCGCAGGGCCCAGGAAGGCAGGCAGCGTTCGCTAACCTACTCGACAGCCAGACACTTCCGACACGGGGCGCAGCAGTCAATGACCATCACAGACAGACAACCGACATGCTTCGCGCGGCAGCTAAGCAATGCTTTCCAATAGACGAGTGTACAAACTGACAACTTTACATTGCGAAAGACGAGGAAATTCACAAGGCTGAGACGACATGCCGCCGCGGCACTACGACAAGAAAGGAGAGCCACGCCGGCAATCATGCTGCGCAAGCTCAAAAAGGAAACGGCCAGGGTCAGAACAGGCAGAACTAAATACCATCACGCGCGTGAGTTTCACTTAGCGCTACGCGCAGCAGGCAACGACCAGCCCATTGACCCACCCATAGCTATTCGCATTTTCCTCGAGGCAGCGAGAACACCACTAGCAATGCCGTTCAAACTTTTTTGATTCGCGGGTCGAGGGCGCACCTCTTCCGGTCGAAGCTAAGCGGGCCGCGCGAAGCTTGAATGAACAAAGAGAGGGGATAGAAGGAGAGGCCTCACGGTCAGGCCAGGAGGAGGCAAAGCTTCGGGATCAATGCCGTTCAAACAGGACAGATCGAACCGCGCCGCACATCTACCCAATCAATTCCAACCCGCACACGACCTGCACGAGCACAGAGCAGCATGGCAACGCGCCAAAGCGGCGCTACGTTGCGGACCCACCACCTGGAAAAAAAAGGCCAACGAAGCACGAGCCATGTCATTCTTTATACACGCAGCAGGAAGCGTACTCGAGAGCGTCGAGCAACATGCATGCGAATCGACCCATCTCTTCGCGCGGCAGGAAGAGGCCAGACTTACCGGCGTCGAGCTGGGGGCCCGCATCAGGGCTCCGCTGTTCTACGGCTGCCGGGGCGACCTGTCGAGGTGGGGGGGGGGCTCATGGGGTGGGGGCGGGGCAAGCCCTAGCACGTCAACATCCTGGAAACGAGGGCTGGCCTGGCCCGCGCGCAGAGGTCTGCGAGATCGCGAGCGAGCTGGGGCCGGCGACATCTGAGGATCACCGACTCCATGATCTGCCTGGGCGGCTCCGCCGTGGGGAGCTTCGCCAGTGCGCCGATCCTGATCTCGCGCAGACGGATGGCCCCTTTGGGCTTGGGGCGCGGAGTAAGGGGGCACAGGAGGCAGGCCCCCTCGGATCGGAATCGCAGCGACGGACCTGGCCGAGGATTTCCGATCGGACTGGCCCCGAAGTGCAGGGGCGAGACTCGACAGAGGTGGCGCTGCCTTCCCCGGCGGCGGAGGCCATGGAGAAGCTGGTCGAGATCGCCGAGGGGGAATCTGTTGGAGCCGCTTCGTCGTGGGCCCTGCGTTTCGCCCGCCTCTGTAGCGGGCGCGCGATGGAAAAGGGGGCCCAGAGCAATGGCCACTGCGACTGGCGGCCCTGCGAGGTTATCTCCTGGCGCGCGCGAACGCGGGCGCGGTGGTCTCGGGCCCGAGTTCGACCTTACCGACGAGGTGGACGCGAGGGGGTGGGGGATGCTCTCGCAGGCCGCCGCGGGCGGAGGGCGCGCTGGGCCCTCGTGCGCCGCGCGGTCTCGCGCGCGCTTTCAGCCGGGAGGCCCCCCCCCTCCGCCGCCGCGAAGCCACCGTTGGGGGCGACCTGGGCCGCGAAGGCGGGATCTCCGACACGCGGGGCGGGGGGCCGCGCAGTTGCCGAGCAGTCTGTGGATCCCGCGGGTTTTCCCGCGGCGCGCCCTGCCGCGCGACCCCCCGATGGTGGGCCGCGACGAGGTCGACTGCTCGGTCTTAGTCCACCTGGGCGAGCTCGTGGAGCACGGGGAGGTCGGGCCCCGCAGGGGGGGCTTCGCGGCGCATGGCCTGACCCGCGCGCGGCCCGAGCTGAGCGCAGGCTTGCCGAGGGCGAACCGCGCGCTGGTGGCCCGGCGCCGCGTGCGCGCGGCGGGCGACGGCGGACCTCAGCCGCTGGAGCTGTGGGCGGTGCTGCTCGAGACGATGCGAGTCCCGGGGCGTGTCGAAGTCGCCGAGGGGTTCGAGCTGGCGCTGGATGCCCACCCCCGCTCGGCCGAGCTCCTCGGCCTGCGAGTCGGGGGCGCGACGGTCACCGACGGCGCCGACGGCAACCCCCCAGCTGCGCCCTGCCTCGGCGCGATCGAGCGGGGCAAGCGAGCCATGGCAGGGGCGAAGCAGGGCGCCCTGATTGAGCGTCAGCACGTGTCCCTGATGGCACTGCGTCGGCGAAGCTCAGGGAAGCAGGACGAACGACTCTTCAGTATGACGGCCGACCGCCACCGACGCGCCCCATAGGCCAGGCCTGCCCCGACCTGGGAGCGGGGGCCTTCCCGGCCCACTCGGCCCGCCATTCAGGGCCGAGTCGCGATGCGGCAGGTGGCTACAGGACAGCACGGCAGATGCAGCGGAGAGGGCGGCGGGCACCCGAGAAGAGTGCGACGGGGCACATGAAGGCCCGCGGCCGCGAGAGAGGCCGCGCTCGCTTATATCCTCGAGAAAGGTGCAGGGCCGCTGCGCGCCAGCTGGCGCCCTGAGCAAGCGAGAGAATGATCGGTGCTTTGGTCAATGAACAGATCGTTTCAGTTCAATTTTCAGCAAGTAATCAGTTGGGGCCCGCGTCTGCGCGCACTCCCGCCCAGCCCGGCACGTTTCGGCCAGACTCTGGCGTCGCGGGCCCGCGCGGGCCCGCGCGCGCGTCGCGCCCAGCCCCGAGGCCCACCCACAAGCGAAGGACATTCGCTTCCACAGCGCGCGCGAGGCCGCAGTGCTCGAGGAAAAGTGCCCGCGCCAATTTACGCTGGCGCCACCTTCCGCTGCCCCCTCTCTCACGCACGGTGATGTTTGACGGATGCCACTAAATATGCGTCGTCCTTGGACTGAGTTTTGCGGGCCTCGTCTTTCACCTCCCCCCCCGCCCCCATAAGCGGGCGGGGCGGGGGGCGTTCGCGAGGGGGCGGGGGGGGCGCTGTGCGAAGGTGGTGCCTTTCCGAATACAACTCGTTTCATTTGTGTGTTCCCGTCTCAAGCTCCTCCCCTCTTATCCCGATTTCGCCTTGTTTGCTGGCCTGGGGCCGCCGGCGATGGAGATTCGCTTCCGCATCGCGCGCGAGGCCTCAGTGCCTCAGAGCTCGAGGAAACGTGTCTGTGCTAATTTATGATGGCGCCGCCTTCCGCCGCCCCGTCTCTCGCGTAAGGTGATGTTAGACGGGTGTTTGTAAATCCCGATGTTGTCCGGTTCGGTCACGATTCTCGGTTCTCGGTTCGGTTTGGTCCATTCATGTTTTTCCATAGAGAGACGTACCTTTTCAAGCGCTGGGGAGACGGTCGGGGATCTAGGTCCCCGTATTGTTCAGCGAGGAGCGGGCAGGGATCGGGTCCACGATTTGGTGGATCACTGTGAGAAAGCCGCGCCAGATACCACATCCTGGCGGACCAGGCCACGCCCGTCGGTCCCACGGACCGTCCGCCCCCGCCGCTGGTGCCTGGCGTATCAGATCATCCCGGATGGACTTGTCTGTCGGCATTTTGAGAAATCGACTATGTTATGGAGCGGTCAAATGGATGTAGAGACGGGGTATTTTTTCGACGTTTCGCGTATCCCACTGGCCCGTCCTGAAACGATGCCCATGCCCAGGCGAACTGCACTGATCAGGGACATGCGGAAAGAATCAGTGGACCAAGGAGTGGAGTGGGGCAGCCGTCAGGTCGTAGTTCGGGGTCAGACTGAGCAAATCCAGGAGTCAACCAGACTGCCTTCGCGGATCCTTCGATCTTCGGTCTTCTTGGCAGCTTATCTGGACCAAACACGGGCCCGCCTGGGCTATTTTGGAGCGGTTCGGGCTATTTGGGGGCTATCTCGGAGTCCTCGTGGCTGTCTCGGCTACATTGGCAGCTATCGAGCAACAAAAATATTTTGCGTTCATCACGCCCCCCCGCGCCCTTGTCGGAACCTTGCGCATGAGCGATAGTGGAGCCATTGAACGCACCAACCGCTGATTTCACGTAAAGTTTGGACAGATGTTTGGCCTCTCGGGGATATGATTGGGAGCCTTTGAGGCGACTTGGCGCCGTCTTTGGGCGGTCTTAGAGCCTCTTGTATGCGTGTTGGAAATGAGATTGAGCCATCCCGGTACATTTTGTGTCATCTTGGAGCCATCTCGGGTCAAGCACGATTATTTGGCACCGCATGAAAGCCCCCGTCTAGACATGGAATAGGGTGTAGGGGGAGGAGTTAACTTCTCCTCGAATGGGAAGGAGGGATTTGTAATAAGCACGTCGCTGGACCACATGCCCAGAGAGCTGGCAGATGTACATTTTTCCTGACATGTTGTTTCAGGTAATACGCAGGGATATTGGAATGGAGGTACACTTCGAGACTAGTCGACCGGCTGGAGTTGGCGAACCACAGATGTGTATATTTGAGGGAGGGGGCTGGTCATTGTATTGATCGTCAGACAGTCTGCTGAAAGTCCAGATCCAGACGTTCGCTTGTTTTAAATCCGCCGCAGCGCCAGAGAATCGTCCTGTGTGGGGATTCAGTACTTCTCGAGAAGCTCTCGCGGGACCACTTGGGCAGTCGTCGAACTTTCTTGAATTCCTGGGCCGTCTTGGGGCCCTTGGGCCGTCTAGGGGACTTCTTGCATTGTCTTGGGGCCCTCTTGGCCATCTGGGTGTCTCTCAGAGCCGTCGTGGAGCCTTCACTGAACAGCCTAGGGCATCGGCACCGGAACCATCTAGGCTCCCAGACATCCTTCGAGCTTTTGTTCACAATGTGGCTCCCCAGAGGTCTGGACCCCTTCCCCTGGACCGTTTTTTCATCGTTAATCGTTCTTTGACGGTCCGGGGGCTGGGGGAAGGTCCGTGGAGGCCGAACACTGCGAGAAATAACCAGTCGTAATGTTTTTTGCAATTGTCCGAGTTTCCAGTAGTCAGGAACGAATTGCAAACATACACCACATGGGTCGGGCTCAGATGACAGAGCCTGACGTCAGCTCTCCCCTCGTGAGGGGGCGGGGGGCCTGCGCTGCCAGACCCGCATAGAGTCTGGCAGCGGGGCCCCCCCCCTTCGGGGGGGGATGCAAGGATGCAGCTTGGAGCTCAAAAACAATTAGGACAGTGTTTATATCCCGCCCTGCCTGGCGGACAAACAACAAACAGGCCCCAACCATCCACACTGACCAGAGACTCAGGATTCGAGCTCCCTCAAAATCAGTGTGCCAATGAACAAGAGTACAGATGCCTGGTGCATTTGCTTCATTGTCCGCTGGAGGGTGTTGAGGGCGTGCTCGTGAGGGGATTTTCGAACAGAGACCCACACAAAAGATGGCAAACCTGCACTCCTGCTCTCGCCACTTAAACTCAGGAGGGTGTCGAGGGGTTGCTCCACAGGAGGGCACTCGAACAGAGACCCTCAGCATATTCTGCGATATCACGTGTTGTTATTTCGCTCATTATCGGCGAATTTGCCGCATTGGGGACGGGAAGGGGTTGACATGATCAGGAGAGGGAAGTTGGGGCAACGTGAATGGGTAAAACAAGAAGCGCTAAGGTATTACTTATGCAGCATTGTGGGTGTCGGGGAGGAGCTCCAGCGAAGGCCCCCGATCAGAACCCATCAGCTTTGTCACTCACTAAGTCAGGCCGAGAACCCCGTCATCCTCCCGCCCAATGACAAACCTCCAACCCCAGTTTCTGCAAACGGACGGACACCGTGCATTTAAACCTGAAGGGTGTCGAGGGGGAGCTCCAACGGAGGGCCCTCGATCAGAGACCCTCACGATCGCTCTGAACCAGCATCTGCTAGGCACTGGTGGGGCGGAAAAAAAACGAATGTGCAGCACTGGGTAGGGAAAGGGGGGGAAGAAGGAATGCAATAGAAGGACCGGGGGGAGGTCAGTTGGCAGGAACAGAAGCCATCGTGTCGCTTCTGACGCATTATGGGTGTCGAGGGGAGCTCCAACGCGGTCTCTATGGACCCCACCAGCCGGCACTGACTGGTTACTCTTGCAAACGAACCTGCAAAGAGATACTATCTGGTGCGCTGGGCAGATGCTGAGAGGCGCAAGCGCTCTCGTGGGGGTGTAGCAGTAATTGCCGATATGATACGCATCTGCACTTCCCAACGCCTCCTCATCTACTGAGCGGGATGCTTGGCATACCATGTGGGGAAAGTCTCTGCGTGCTTGCTGAACCAATCGCGCCAGTGGTCCATGCCTCCACTGTCAGGCACTCTGCTAGCCAACACCCTTCGCAGATGAAACGTTTGCCTTTAGCGCGCAGGGTTTTACCTCGCCAGACTCTTCTGAACATGATGGTCAAACTGGTTTGCCTCCTGGCACCTGGCTGCAACCGTTGCAGCGATACTTGCCCCATTATGTCCTGGATACTGTTCAACGTCGCTTGAGGCATGACGTGCACATAAGTTGAATGACTGTGGAGAAGTTGAACTCTCAATCCCTAGGCCTCGACGGGCTTTGACTTGAAACGGGGTCGGCGGCAATGGCCTGTGCCTTCGCCGATGAGTGCTGCTTGCTAACCTGCGCGCGCGTCTGGACAGGGTGCGAGGAGCTTCGTGTCACGAAGCGGGTTGCTAGCAGGCTCTTGTTTGCCTCGGACTGGCCTCCGCGGCGCTGCTCCGATCTCCACGCGAGGAAACATATGCTGTGTCTCTGCCCTTCCTGTGCTGGCAGAGTCTCGAGCGTCTGGATCGGGCCGCCAATCGAAATCAAACTTCTGCTCCTCTGGCTCGTCGCGTTATCCTGGTGGCCTGTCTAAATGCTCGCTCCACGGATTGAGAAAACACGCTGGCCTTGGGCCGGCCGACCCGTCCTCACATTAAACCCGCCGTTGTGGATTCCTTCCCGCGTGCCAGGCAAATGGAAGGACTGCAGTGCCAGGCGGAGGGAGAGGGGCCTCAAGCATCAGAGGACACGCATTACAAATTGCTCGTGCGGTAGGATCAAGCTGCAGAGTGATGCCTGTTTTTCCAGGGAGCACATATCCGCGTACTCCTGGGCCTCGAAATGGCTGCGGCTGACTCTGTGAAAGTAGCGCAGTGAGGGGGGGATCACAATGATAAAAGGGAGGTAATAATGAATTCCGTTGGGACATCCAACGCCTCATATTTTCTTTGCTGGACTCCTGCTGCACATTGCCATTTTTCAGCGCTGGAAAAAACACGCTTGGCTCTGGAATGGGCAATCGAAGGCCTTCTTGTGTTCTACTCTTGCGGCGCTGAGCGGCCTTCCTCATGTTGGCGCCCACCCGCGCCAACTGATCCGGCGCGAGCTCGGGGC